AAGTAATTTCTTTCCAATATTATTTAGCATGATTAAAGTTGTACCTAATACAGCCTGTTAGGACTGAAGGAAGTTACTCTTCATAAATATAGTCAAACCCTGGTTCTCGAATGTCTCCCATCTTGAACAATTTGTTTCTGGACTAAGTTGTTCAAGGGAAAAAAATGTCTCGGTTGTCAAACAACACTTCAGCTATTGACCCTACAACCCTTTCATGCTGATACCCGTATGAACAGACACACATCCCTCAGGCGGCAAAAGAGAGAATGCCTGAGTATCAATTTATTGCTAAACCTCACATTGTTCATTTAACATCTCAGGAACTTGTGCTGTAAATATTTTTGTGGTTTTTTTGTTGTGTATTATTAAATACATACAGTAAGTCATCATGGGTTAATGATAGCAGCAAAGTGAAAAAAGTTGTGAGAATGATAGAGCTTAAAAAAGAAATAATTGCCAAGTATAATAGAGATGTTCATGTGTCTGATCTGGCTACCAAGTATGGCATGACAAAATGTACAATTAGCACAATTTTAAAACAAAGAGGCCATCAAGAGTGCTGATTGCTAAGGGTGTGAAAGTGCTCACAAAACAATGATCACAGGCAATTGAAGAGGTAGAAAAGCTGTTGATTTGGATTAAAGAAAAGCAGTTACATTGTTTCTTAGCTATAGGCCAAGCATTACTATGGTTTAGTCCTTTTTCATTACAGATCACTATGATTTGCAGTGTAAATCCAGCCTTTTTCCCCTAGAGTCAACACACCACTGTTGATAATATGCAAGAACTTGTTATAGCAAAGCCTTTTTTTTAAAGTATATATTTTATTGATTTGAGAGAAAGGGAAAGGGAGAGAGAGATAGAAACATCAATGATGAGAGAATCATCCATCAGCTGCCTCCTGCACCCCCCTCCCTGGGGATTGAGTCCACAACCCAGGCATATGCCTGACCAGGAATTGAACCCTGACCTCCTGGTTCATAGGTCAATGCTCCACCACTGAGCCATGCCAGCTAGGCAACATAGCAAAGCCTTATATGTACTAGAGCTAGCTCTGAATTTGCTCACCATTGTATCACCAGCCATAATACCTGGTTCATAGTAGCCATTCAATAAATATCCCATGGGTGACTAAATAAAAAGATGAATTTAGGGAGAATAGGGACCTACAGCCAAAAAGCTTTTCTGTTGACTTTAGCATATCCTAGTTGCTAAATGCAGAAACAGAGAGAAGTGAGAAGTTTGAGGAAATATTTTTGGGTGGTAAGAAGTGAATGATTAAGAAGCCCAAGGCTGGTTTTTAATTTGGTTGGGACTGCTCACTTAAACTTTAACTACCTATGGCAAAATAAATCAGGTAGTACCTTCTCTGAATAAGAATGATGCCGAAATAATTTGGTTAAAGTTTAATCAGAATATTTAAGTAATGACCTATTCCATTACTTATTTTCTGAGCCACTGATAAGCAGAAAAATGTTCACTTATTGTAAGGCTCTTTTAACATATGAGTCCATTTTCTTTCCAAGTTAAGATTTAGTGAAAATGTTACTATTTTATATATATATATATATTATATAGAGTCTCAGGACTCATTGCAAACATAAATATATGGTATATTATGGATATACTAACAGAAGGCTAAGGAGACTGGGATAAAAGTCACACTGACCCAGGGTGGCCTTATGGTAAAGTAGATTGTAACCCATGTCGCTTGACTTGGGAGGGACTGAGAAGTCTCCTTTTCCCAAAAATAACTCCCCTCTGGATTTTTCCAATTCTTGAAATACCACTGCTTAGACTCTGGATTAAGGAATTGTCTGTGTTCCAGAGTTCCCTGTTTAAAGGTAAATACACCTAAGGGAGCTAAGTCCTTATCAACCTGAATGACATCACTGGATGATGAAAGATCATGTTCACTGGACAAAAACAGGTTACAGAATGGCTACCTTTTGAAAGGGTGGCAAGGATCCTGAGCAATGAATCCTGTCTGAGGAATGCAGAACTGAGTGTGTCACTGAGCTAAAAGACACATGAGAATCCTGGAAAATAAGACAGCATAAAGCCAGGAAGGGCACTGAAAGGAGAGATCCAAAAATACTACTTCAGATTAACATTACCTACTTTCCAACCTTGCCCAGGTAGGGTTTCTGCATGGACAACATGTACTCTATTTTTAAATGCAGACCTCTCCTTCCAGTCTTGTTAAATTGATTATGCTATTTTTAGCTCAGCTTCCTGGCTATCAAGATCATTTTTGTCATGATTCATACAACATAATAGTCATTCCCTCTAGGAGCAGAGCATCTATAGATTTATTGCGTGCCTTCCACATTTTTATCGAAGTCATTAGTTCTAAATCTTGGGTTCAGGCTGTCTGCAATTTATCTAAAACTGTACATAACATTTTTTTGTGTTTAAGAATTTCTCTATAGAGAGGGGTCCAGAGTTTTTAGCAGGTTCTCAAGGTGCTCCATGACCTCAAAAAAGGTTAAAAACCACTGATCCGACTATTCAATATTTTGAACAGAACAGTGCTAATAAGACAGAGTTCTGTAAGATCACCAAGAGTGCCTTTCATCTTGTTTGGCACTGATCCACCAGAAATGTTGAGGTGTAGTGGTTGACTATTACATGTCAGTCTCTTGTGATTTGCCTTTGTCATAAAAGTGGAAGGGAAAAGTGAATTCCACCTACTTTGGCATTCTGATTGTTGAAATTTTCATACTGCTGATATTTAGTTTTTAATCTCTAAATATAAGGTCATTCTTAAGACCATCATTTTGATTCCTATACACATCATACACCATATATCATAATATATTTAGCCTAAATGTAATTATAGCTACTTCAAAAACCCATGTGATTAGCTAAAATTAACACACACCAAAGAAAATACATAAGTTACAGCTTGCTGTTTTCTGCATGGCTCTGAACAAGTATAATGTGAATTCAATGCCAACCTATCTTAAAACCTAGGGTCTCAGTTATTGTACAGTTAGAATATATATAGAAAGGGCTCCACAGTTTAAGAAAATCCTCTACGTGAAAATCTGGATATGACTAGTAGATCTTCATTACTTTATTTAAAAAGGATTCAAAAGGGAACCCTAGTACACTGCTGATGAGAATGCAGATTGGTGCAGCCACTATGGAAAACAGTATGGCATTTCCTCAAAAAAAATTAAAAATGGAACTGCCATTTGACCCACTGATCCCACTTCTAGGAATATATCCTAAGAAGCCTGAAACACCAATCAGAAAGAATATATGCACCTCTATGTTCATATAAGTGTTGTTTACAGTGGCTAAGATCTGGAAACAGCCCAAGTGCCCATCAGTAGATGAGTGGGAAAAAAAGATGTGGTATATTTACACAATGGAATTCTATGCAGCTATAAAAAAGAAGGATCTCTTACCCTTTGAGACAGCATAGAGGGACCTGGAGCTGATTATGCTAAGTGAAATAAGCTAGCCAGAGAAAGATAAGTATCACATGATCTCACTCATATGTAGAATCTAATGAATCAAATAAACTGATAAACAAAAATAGATCCAGAGACCCAGAAGCATGAACAGACTGTTGACCTTCAAAGGGAAGGCAGGGAGGGTGGATAGGAAGAGATCAACCAATGAACTTGTATGCATACATCCATAACACATGGACACAGACAAGTGAGATGAAGGCAGAAAAGGGGTGGAGAGGGTCAATGAGGGGTGGGAGAGGAAGGGATGTCTGTAATACTTTCAACAATAAATATAATTTTTTTTTTAAAAAAAGGACTCAACTTGGAAGGAAGTCAGACACAAAAAATTCCTTACTGAATGATCCCATTTATATGAAGTTTAAGAAAAGGCAAAGTTAATCTCTAAATGATGGAAAACAAATTACTGGTAGTCTAGGTCCAGGATGTTGGTGGGATTGCACAAAGGGATATAGGAAATGTTTTGGGATGATGGAAATGCTCTAGATGGTTGTAGTGGTTTCCTGGGTATATACATATGTCAAACACATCAACATATCAAACAGGTGCAGTTTATTCTACATAAAGTAAATTTCAGTAAAGTTTCTTATAGAAGATTTACCTTAGGATCATTAAAATAAGATGTTATTGAATATTATTTATTGAACCTTAAAATAAGCTTTAAAATCTGATTCATTATGTAAATGAAAAAGTCTACCTGTAAATTTCTTCAAGGTGGGATATAGGTGAAATATAATCAATGGAAGAGCTTTTAAACTGGTGAAGAGGTGATATCAATGCATTTTAGTTACTATTTAACATACAAGAATGATATCTCTATTAATGTGGAATACCCCAACAGTAAAAACAATTTAAATAATTAGTTCAGATTATCTAAAATTGATTTTGAGTGTCAATTTAGAACAGTTTCCTAAACTGGCCTTTCCAAAGTAGATAGCATGAGACATAGTGATAGCACAATAGCTCATTTAAAGCTACATGGTACATCACCCGTGATATCAACATTTTGTATTCACTAAAGGATCATTGTATTGAGAATTGTTTGCCTGTACATTACTTTGCATTTAAAAATTGGGTTATTTAAAAAAATTGCTATGCTCAGATAGTGAATAACAGGGTGGTTCCTTCGGAAATCTAATATGAGAAATGAAGCATTAATTTTAAGACCTAGTTTTAAATGCTATGTACCAACCAATATGAACCCTTTAAATAATCTTCTCTGGAATTTTTTAAGATTTTTTTCCAATCTGGGATATGGTAATAGTGAATTCTTTTCTTAGTGGTGAATATGAAAATGGGAAGCATTGAACTAATCATAGAAATAATATTGAATCCAATTAAAGCCACCTTGTCATGTGTGCATGTGGAATGTAACAAAGAGTAGCTAAAAATGCAGAAATAAGATTTTCTGAAATACTACACAAGTGTTAGTTGTATATACAGATGTCAAAACATAACACATCAAACTGTATACTTGAAATAGGTGCAGTTTATTCAACTGAATTAGAAATCACTTGCTTTTATAATTAGTTATGTTTATGTGTTAGTAAAATTGTAAGTACATTTTACTGGTAAGGCAGGAACCCTTGCATTTATTTAGTAGTTATCTTGACCTGTTTATTTTGGATTGATGGTAGGAGCACCTTGTTAAAAGAGGGTTGGTCAGAATGGAGGGAGGTAGTGGGTGATTGGTTAGGTCAACTGAATTCTAAGCGCCAGTAATGGGTTCCTTAGTGATAAACACTGCAGTTAGGCTACCAGCCTATGACTTATTCTGGTTTTTCCTTATCACCCAAGGCTTCAATTGCAATCCCGGGCTCTGGCTTGGGCTCGGGTTTGGGCTTGGGCTCCAGCTGGATCTCAAGCTCAGGCACCGGGGCAGGCTCAGGTCCTGGGGCAGGCTCCAGGGAAGACTCAGGAATGGTGATAGGCCCATGATCTGCCCCCAGGATGGTATCGGGTTCAATCTCATGGAAGGAAGTTGGTGTTGCTTCTAGTTGAATAACATCTTCAGATGGCATTGTCTCGAACTCTGTAACTCTGTTTGTCATTGGTCTGCAGGAAGAAGGCCCAGAGAAGACCAAGTTAGGGTTTGACATTTCACGTGGAGCCACAGGTTTCAGTGACCATATGTCCCAATCTGTTCAAGACCTCTGTGATTTCTGATATTCTGGCTCACTGTTAGACCACATGTCTCTATTTTGGGTGCAGAAAAGTTATGTCTCAACAATATCATTAGAGTTCAAGAGAGAAAAACCAGTGTTCCAAATGTGGGAAAACATATCAAGGTGAAAGGATCTATTCATCTAGTAAGGTCTTTGAGGCCCAAATCCATGACTCAGGTGTTATCTCTAGCTTGCACTTCATCTAGCACATTACTTGGCATCTGGTTGGTGCCCAATACACAGTTGTGGAAGCATAGAAATGGCAAGATGAACAAATGAACATGTGTGATATACATTCAAGAAGAAATGGCCGAGTGGTCAAGAGCATAGGCTGTGGGCCCAGTCACATTCTGACTTCTGTAGACCTTAGGCACTTTTGCCTTTGTGGGACCCTTGTTCCAAAAAAAAAAATATTGAAAATTATATTTTATGACCGGTTGGTAGAAAGACAAGTATACTAATATGCTAAATCATTTTCTTAGACCTAAAATGGTTATTGTGGTTAAATAAGTTGATATAAAGTGCTTAGAACAGTCTGAAACACAGCACTCAGTAAACAGTACCCAACATGATTCTTTTATAAAAGTAGTGAGAATGAACAGAAAGATACCCCTGATATTTTATGCTAAAAGGAGTGCTTAGGAAGAGCTGACTGAGAGAGATATGCCAGAGAAATGACTATATTCAAGTAAAGACAACAAATTAAGGTCTTACTCGAGTTCTGTGGTGGTTTTAGAAGTTCTCTTCCTTTCATTCCCCTTTGCCTTTGCCTTGCTCCTTGCGTAGCACACCGCAAAGGTGATAATGGCAGCACCTACTAGGGTACCCACCAAGGCCCCAACAATGATTCCAACTTCTGGATCTGGAGTATACAAGCAACGGGTTAGTAAAGTGGAATATATTGTCTCTGCCTCATACATGTACTTTTGTGACAGGGAGCAATATTTGGGGCATTCGTAGAGTGGAAAATATTGGAATTGCATAGGCTGGGAGTATGGAAACCCCTAGAACTCTGACAGTTGGACTCAGGGGGGAAACATGATGGCTAGGTCAACTATGTAGCTTACCCATTCACATTTACACACATAAATAATAAAAAATATGCCAACTTGGGGGAGGTGGCATCACTTTCAAAATGGGGCATCATCCTATGCACCAAGAGGTTGCTGCTTTGATTCCTGGTCAAAGCATATGCCCTGGTTGCAGGCTCAATCCTCAGTAGGAGGCATGCAGGAGTCAGCCAATCAAATTTTCTCTCATTAATGTTTCAATCTCTCTCTTTCTCTCTCCCTTCCTCTCTCTAAAATCAATAAAAACATATTTTTAAAAACTTTATATTTAAAAAATTAAGTTTCGAGGAGTCTTCAGTGTGCATTTGCTTGGTGAGTGAAAGAAACACCATGGAGCTGCACTCTGGTGATCAGAAAAATGACCTCTGTTACAGGCATGGACATTTTAGCAGGTTTTCCAAGAGAATAGGTCAAGTGGGTCCCTACATTCTCTCTCATAGTTTCCATGCTCACTACGGAGTCTCATATATTCTGGCCACTGGAAAGGGATATGCCCATTTCATAAACTGGTTTATTAGATCAGTCTATAGAGAAATTTATTGTGTGAGATGATTCAGCTGAGCATTGAGACTTTATTGTCCCCAAAAGGCCATGTCTGTGTTCCAGGAAGGCTCATCCCCATCCACCTCCCTTCAAATAAGAATGGACATCTTATATTTTGAGACTAAAGCCTAGTTGAATTGCGGGATTATTCCTTCAACATTTTATGATTAAAGGAATACATGTGCATAATTTAGAAAGTCATACAGTTCCACTAGGCATCTAACAAAAACAAACCAAAACAAAAATCACCAGTCCTCCATCTCTCAGTCCCATTCACTAGAGACAATCATTTTTAACTATTTTGTAATCTTCTAAAATGTGCCCCCATGTTTCTATTATGCTTGTCCTAATATGTTCTCTACGTTTTCCAATTTTGGTTATTTTCTATTGACTTCCTACTCTGGAAGTTGAAGTTTTAACTCTCTTACACCATTCCCCTCACACCCTACCACATTCTCCTTATATATTTACTAGTGGCCCGGTACACAAAATTCATACATGGGGGGATGGGGAGTTGTCCCTCAGCCTGGCCTGCATCCTCTCCAATCTGGGACACCTCAGGGGATGTCCAACTGCCGGTTTAGGCCCGATCCCCGGGCCTAAATTAGACTGGAAGACATTCCAGACAAAGCCATGGTGGTGGGGCTGAGGCAGAGGTGTTAGGGGCGATCAGGCCAGGAGGGTAGGGCAGTTAGGGGTGATCAGGTCAGCGGGGGGGCAGTTGGGGTGAGCAGGCTGGCAGGGGAGGCAGTTGGGGGCGAGCAGGCTGACAGGCAGAGTGGTTAGGGGCAATCAGGCAGGCAGGCAGGTGAGTGGTTAGGAGCCAGCAGTCCCGGATTGCAAGAGGGATGTCCGACTGCCGGTTTAG